TCAAAGTCAGACCAGGAAGGGAAGTCCATGAGACTCTTAATTAACCATCAAAAATGCCAGAAGTAGAGATATGGCTCAAGAAGAGTGCTAACCTTGAGCAAAAGAAGCCCATGGACAGTTCTCAGGCCCTATGTTCAAGCCCCAGTACTGACACAAAGCAAACCAATAAACAACACACAAACAAAACTCAAAACAAAACTATTTGGTCATCTCATTTGCTTGTCAAAATATTAGTCTTCCTTGGAGTTCTCTTCTAGACCCTCTTCTGATCTATCCCTCTTCTTTGGGTCTTCTGTTCCTTCATCTGGCCTCTCTTAACTCTTGATAAACTATCCTCGAGTATAGTTTGGACAAATTATAGACAAATTGTGCTTGTCATGTCTTTTATAATTTAACCCAATGCAATAAAGGGTAAAGCCATTAACAATATGTGTCTGTATTCCTCCCAATGGTTCTATTAGGTTCATCTTTCAATTACTAGTTGCATTATCAGGAGAGAAACAAGTAGATGAAGGAAACAGTAATGAAGAGGAAAAACAGTAAAGGAGGTGGGCCTTGTCTGAGTAAGGGAAAGCACAGAGATGTTTTTTAGAGCAGTTTATACAATGGACAAAGAACACACATAAAAAGATGGTCTTGGATTACAAATAATAAGTACTTTTAGTGAATCTGTATGTTTTCTCTGTTAGGACAGACAATAGCACTTCTAGTTACTCTGGTTATGGCCATTATGAAAAATAAACTAAAGGTTATTGGTCATATGTTACCTTACTGGTCTTCTCTGATGTAATTGCTATGTAGGAGTAAATTCTTACTGGGAGGAGGAGCAGGGTCAGCAGATTGAGGACACTTAAGTCAGTCTGTGGAAGCAGTAAAATATTAGTGGTTGCCAGGGGTAAGAAGAAGAATGAGAAGGTGGACATGGAGGGTTTTTAGAGCACAGACACTATTTTGTATGATACTAGGATGATGGGCACATCATTCTATGTTGGTTTGAACATTAGAATGCACAACCGTAATGTGAACTATAGGCATTAGGAGATAATGGTTTTGTTAATTGAGGTTTTAATTTTATTACCACTGGGGTGCAGGATGTTGATAGTGTTATAGTAAATAGGAAATGTCCCCCACAGGCTCACATGTTGAACACTTGGTCTCCATATGGTGACACTAATTTGGGAGGTGGTAGAAACTTTAGGAAGGGGCCCTCACTAGTGGAAGAGGTCACTGGGAATGTGTCTTTGAAGATTATATCTAGTCCTGCAATTCCTGACTCTGTTTCCTGTCTGTCATGAGGTGAGTAGTCTCAAGGAATATGGATTGAAGTCTCCAAAACTCTGAGCTAAAAGTATTTTTCTTGCAAATTATGAGCCTTTCAGTTCTCAAAAAAAAAAGAATTTTAGGCAACTTTCAACAAAAGATACAAGTAATTTAATAAAACTGCACCAAAAGAGGACAAATTAGCTAAATAGAAAACAATATATGAATTCAAGTGTAACCTAACAGAGTCATTATGATGGAATAGAAAGTTTATGCTCTAATCTGCTAGAGAACCTTTGCTTTTAATCACATTGGCTAAGTCATTTTACAAAAGTAGGAAGCTATCAATTCCTCAGTCATAAGGGTTTTTTTTTTGTTATAAATTCTGAAAACTTTAATAATATCCTTTGACACAGCCTTTAAACAAATGCAGAAATAGCTCCATTTTTACATGACTGACTCCTTAAAAACTCTTGAAAATATAACATTCAAGCTTAGTTAATTGGAGAAGTTTGGCCAGGGTCTAGCTACATTAACCTCAAAAGTCTCTTTGCTTTTATTTCATCAATTAACCAATTCTGAATACCCCCTTTTTTTTTTTGTCGGCCATGGGGCTTGAACTTAGGGCTTGGGTGCTATCCCAAGTGTAGTGTTCTACTACTCAAGCTTAGTGCTCTACGATTTTGAGCCACTGAACCATTCCCAGTTTTCTGGTGATTAATTGAAGAGTCTCATGGACTTTGCTGACTGGCCTGGCTTTGAACTGTGATTTTCAGGTTTCAGCCTCCTGAGTAGCTAGGGTTACAGGTATGAGCCAACAGCACCCAGGTTGACTTACCTTTTTTCTTTTGCAAAAACATAAGATGATTTATAGTCTACAAACCAGAAGAGACTACTATTAGATTCTACAAATTCCAAGACTTTCTCATTTTTCAATAATTTCAAAGACAAAGTCCTTTAGGATGAGCAATGTCTCTGCTACTAAGGCATATATTTTGCATAAGATGAACTAATATTACATCAACAACATCAAAACTGGTGAAAACATCTTTATACACTTGTAAATGATGACTTTTCACTTGGATCTGATAGAAGTGAGTAATACTATCCAATAGCTGAGTAGCTTGAAAAGGACGGTAGTATCCTGGCAATAAAAGAACAAATCCAGTATATTACACAAAATATATAACTTCTGGCAATTTATATTTTAAATTTTGAGTCAGACCTCACTATCTAGGAAGGACCTAGGTCTGTAGCTCAGGCTGGCCTCAAATTCATGATGCTCCCACCTCACTGCCTCAGCTTCCTGAATGTTGAGATTATAGTTGTGTGCCACCCACCTGACTAGACTACCTTATATTTTTTCATGGCATATTTAAAGCAATTTTTCTTTTCTTTTTCTTCCCCTCACCCCCACAATTTTAGTGTAACTGTTAAAAGTAAAAAGAAACAGATAAGGGAAACATGTCCGGTTCCACAAGTTAAGATTCTTTTGTAGGAGGGTAATTCTAATTTTTTTAATTAATTAATTATTTTTATTTTTTGTTGGTTGTGAGGCTTGAACTCTGGGCCTGGGCGCTGTCCCTGAGCTCTTCAGCTCAAGGGGAGCACTCTACCAATTAAGCCACAGTTGCCACTTCTGTTTTTCAGGTGGTTAATTGGAGATAAGAGTCTCATGGGCTTTCCTGTCCGGTTTGGCTTTGAACTGTGATCTTCAGATCTCAGCCTCCTGAGTAGCTAGGATTATAGGTGTGAGCCAGCAGTGCCTAGCTTTGTAGGAGGATAATTTTTGAGCTGGGCGAGTCCATAAAGTCTAGGAACACCTAATTTTTAGACAGTGATTCTTGGTGAACCCCAAATACAGGTAATTTTCAGGACCTAATTTTTCATTTTTTTTTTGTCAGTCATGGGGCTTGAACCCTGGCCTGGGCGCTGTCCCTCAGCTCTTCAGCTCAAGGCGAGCTCTCTACCACTTGAGCTACAGCGCCTCTTCCGGTTTTCTGGTGGTTTATTGGAGATAGGAGTCTCACGGTCTCTCCTGCCCAGGCTGGCTTTGAACTGCGATCCTCAGATCTCAGCCTCCTGAGTAGCTAGGATTACAGGCCTGAGCCACCAGCGCCCTGCTCAGGACCTAATTTTTCAAAACATACCTTTCATTTTTTTCTGTTTTTAATCTATCCGTGAAGAAATCCTAGATTTTTAACATTTCAAGGGATAAGAAAAATTTAGATAACCCTATTTTTAAACTGAAAAAAAAATTAAATTGTACTTACGACACAATTCATTTTCCTTTTTTCTATGATAGGGATAGAACCTAAGAGCTGCAGGATGCTAAGAAATACTTAGCTCTACACCAGTTCAAATCCATTCTTTCAAAGTGCACAATCCTGTGGGATTTTTTTCTTTTGCATTCATAAAAATTTACAGCCATTACGATTATCTAATACCAGTCCAAGCAGCGACTCCCCCCAACTCGGTAATATTTTAATAAAAAGAAATTATGCGAGATACAGGAATAAGTTGAAGCGTTGGGAATGTTGTTTCTAGTTATTTGGGAGAGGAAAAACTAAGAATTTATGCTATTTCCTTACTTTAGAGAACTGGAAACGGTATGCCCGATCTCAACATAATAAGATGCAAGATGTTTATGACAAAATGACAGAAATAAAAATCCATTACTGTCAAATTCTTTTTGTTAATGTCCGTCTGTCAGTCCCCAAGTATTGCGGGCAGAGCAGAGGGCAGTGTGCATGCAGGCAGAGGCTAGCCGGAAGTGTGCCAAGACTGAGGAGAGGGGTTACCTGATGGGATTGTGGGGGGAGTGGGGGACTGAGCCGGTCAGCGCAGGACAACTTACCTAACTTTCATTAAAGAAGTAAGAGCTAATCACTTCTTGTGTCTCGAAATGTAGCACAGTAAACAGCCAAGTCTGGGACTGAGTAGAAATGCAGAATATTCGACGGTAGTCTGCATTAGACTAAGCTCTCTAGGTGATAAGTATGCATATTAACACTTGAGGAGCACAGCTTTCCTGGCCCCTTCTGGGGAACTTTATGGAAGCACCCTCGGAAAAGGCCCAGCGTGGGCTCTTCAGGCCTGGCTCCAGAAAGATCCAGTGGCCTGAGAAGAGGGCGGGGTTTTTAGAGCCCGGAAGAACGAAGTCCAATCACCCGCCAGTCACCTGTTGCTCTACCTTTATTACACATCCGGCTAGGACCTATAGGGCTATGTCTTCCTTTTCTTGCAAAAGTCATCTCTAGAGCTCATAAAACGCGACCCCCTCTTCTCAGGGCTCGGAAGCTCGTTCTGGCCGCAAAAAGGAAACCGCGGAAAGGGACCGCTGTAAGCTCAAGTTTTGGCTCCTCCCCTGGCTCCGTAGCCCCGCCCCGCCGCCTCTCGGAGGCGGAGGGAAGTCTAGGCCCCGCCCTTCCGATACAGCAGGAAGTGACGTCATGCGAGGGCCGGCAGGTCTTTGGCTCTTTCCCCTTCGGTATTCTTCCTCCCTAGTCCCTTCCCTTCCTTGCCCTGTTCCTCCTCCCGTCCCAGCCTGGGCGGCTACGCGGGCGGCCGAGGCCATGGAGTGAGCGGACGGTGGCGGCCAGGTGTGGGGAGGCCCGAGCAAGCGCAGTCCGGTGGCATCTAGGGGGCGGGGGAGGAGCCCCAGCACCGCCCCTCCAGGGACGAGCACCGGGAGGTGAGTGACGGACCGCGGGCTCCCGCCACCTCCCGCGGCGCCGGCGCCGGCGCGGTCGTGGTCGTTTGGCTCCTGTGGCCGGTGACGGGAGAATGGGGAATGACCCGCGCGCAGGGTAGGCCTGCCAGAACCACCGGGGCTGGCGACTGTTGCCTGGTGACCGGGCTGCGGACTGGGCGGGACGCTGGGCGTCCGTGAGACGCTGGGCCGGAGGAACGGCTAGCTCGAGAGAGCCAAGAGGCCCGAGTTCCCCAGAGAGGCCTTGGGGCGACCACGGACCTGGGTCATCTGCCGAGGGAGAGCTCCCGCGTCGTCCGGGAGCTCAGGTTTCTGCGGTGGAGATCTTGATATTCTTTTGGGAAATTGGACACTGCCTCAGGACTGGGTGAGACAGCTCCTGTCCGTTCTGAGGTCTGGCTTTGGTAACTAAAGTCACGGACCAGGGCCCTGCCCTCCCTGCGTCCTTCTCCGACTGTAGCTATAGTTCTCCAAGGGAAGGTTATTGTATGTGTGTGTGTATGTGTGTGTGTGAGGTGGGTGGGGCAGGTGTTTTGTTAAGGCTGAAATCTCCATCAATGTACTCCTTGGTTTTCTAAATGACAGAAAAAGGATGAAGCTTAGACCGATAAAGCTTGCAAACACTGTGATCATATATACCTGTGACCAGAATTAAGGACACCAATGTTATCAAATCTACCTAACAGGTTTGATGAGACCCCACACTGAAGTGACTTAAACGTACTGTGCCATAAGGGACCCAGTTGTAGGTTGCCAACTAGATTTTTTTTCTTTTTTTTGTATATCAAATCCAGGAATTGTTTGTGTGATGATACTTTAAAGAACTGTATACTTGAGTAAGGTTTCTAAATAACGTGTCTCAGATGTGAAAAACTTAATAAGTAAAAATGTTCTAAACTAGCCAGTCATAAAACTTGATGTTGAAAGTCAGGTGCTTGAAGATTCTTTTTGGACTTTGCAAGCCCCCTCCCCCCCCCCCAGGCTGCTTGAGAAGAAGGGATTGTGTAAAGGAATGAAACAAGTAGAGCCTTTATTCTTTTCAGGTCTGCTTTTGCACAAATGCAGAAACTTACTTTTTTTTGTCTCTAAGATTCATAACAGTCAAACACAGTAAAACTGTAGTTCTATATAATGGAACATTGCTTTACAAACTCTATAGTTGGAAATAATTCATTTACTTGAAATTCATGATCTACCGTGTTGTATTTCCATTGATTTCTATGGAAATTGAGATTTGACACTTCTCATGTCACATAGTTTCTCAGGTCTCTATTGATTTGCTACATTAATTACAACAGTTTAATCTTCATCTTTAACTAGTCTAGTTCCAACCATCATCACTTATCTGGACTGCTTTATTTGCCCCCTGATTGTGGTCTACCTGTGGTTCTTTCAGTAGTTTTCCACTCTAGATGCAGTGTCTTTTTCATAATATGGATCTAATCACGTCTCCATATTTAAATCCTTCAGTGGCTTCTCGTTGGTTTTAAGTTGGACTGAAATCCTTAACATGCCCTATAAGGCTATGCCTTGTGGTTTTCTGTTTGCCCTTTCAACTCTAGAATCCTTTCTGAATTTTTTTTCTTCCCTGGTTTATCTTTCTGTTCTTCAGTTGAATGGCTTTTGAAAATGCTCCTCCTTTTCTTTTCATTCAGTTAATGTTTGTCATACAATTCACTTCAGAGAAGATTTTTCCTGACCAAGATAGATTTTCCTGTTTCAAGATACTATTGCAGGGTTGCCATGTTTATTATACTTAAATTAACGAGATGTTCTTCATATCTGGAAACTGTGTAAGTACCTAAAGAAATGTTTATTAAATGAATGTGCTGGCATTGTATTAGCCATTGCACATATACTTTAATCTTTAATCATCACAGCAATCACCTGAGATCTGGATGGCTTTCCACCTTATAGATTAGAAATTATGTAAGGGGGGCTAGATGGTGATAACAGCCCAAGTAAGTATTAGAATTGTCATTTGAACTGAGGTTTCCTTGACACCCAAGATTATACATACTTCTCATGCATTGCTGCACATCAGAATCAACTACAAATGCCTTTAGTGTTCATTTATAAATTCTGATTCCAAAAGTTTGAGATATACATTAATATCTATATGATTTAACAAATTACATAGGTTATTTAAATGTCCACAAGCATTGGAGAACATTTGTCTTAGACAATGTCTGCTCAGTTTATTTGCACACATTGTGGTTATATTGTGTTTCATATTTCATACTTCAAGAACTGTAGACTTAATGACCTTAATGAGCATTTAGTGTAATTTCCTACTGAATTATTCCTTTGTTCATCTCCAGCTGAAGGGGCTGAATAGCAAGAATCTACTACTCTATTAGTTTTCCTTTTTAAAAAAATAACAGTATTTCAACACTCTTAACTTTTTTTTTTGCCAGTCCTGGGGCTTGAACTCAGGGCCTGGGCACTGTCCCTGAGCTGCTTTTGCTCAAGGCTAGCACTCTATCCCTTGAGCCAGAGCACCACTTCTGGCTTTTTTTGTGTATGTGGTACTGAGGAATCAAACCCAGAGCTTCATGCATGCTAGGCAAGCACTCTACCACTAATCCACATTCCCAGCCCTGATTAACTTCTTAGAGAAAGTATAGCTTACTAATTATATAGGCTGCAATTATATAGGATGCCTTTAAAAAAAACTTGGATGCATGGTGGGATGGGGTGAAGGGGTGGCTCAAGTGAAGCACAAGCCTGAAGTTTAATCCCCAGAATCTCCAAAACAACAACCACCTCTCCCCCCTCACAAATAACAGCTTTGGATTGAATGTCTCCTGAACTCATATTTTTGTTGAAGTTTTTAAGATTTTTATTTATTTACTTTTTTTGGTGGTGCTAGGATTGAACTTAGGGCTTTATGCATGCATGGGCAAGTGCTTTCTACCATTGGATCACACTTCAAGCTCTCAAATTAACTAATTGATATTAAAACAAGTGTTGCTTTATAAATTCTCATGTTGCTTTAAATTTTGCATTGTACAGTGGTGTTAAATTTGCCAGTATCACTGCTGAATATTTTGTTTGTTATTCCAACTGAACTTAGCATGCTGATTTTTTATCTTTAGTAAGTGTTCAGTAACGTGTATATGAATGTATAAGTCATTATACAAAGCTAAATCTCTAGGTTTTTTTTTTTTAATTAGCCTTGTCTTCTGTAAGCTCTTTTTGCTCTACTGATAATAGTTAGATACTTTCTGTAGCCATACAGATAATGATTGTATTGAGTGGGTATAATCTTTGTTCTGAAGATTAAACTAGAATTCTGTTTAGGCCAAAAAAATAATTTAAACCATTTATTCAAAACATTTTCTTGCCGGGTGCTGGTGGTTTATGACTGTAATCCTACCTACTCAGGAGGCTGAGTGAGGTATGAGGATTGTGGTTCAAAGCCAGCTCTGGTATGAAAGTCTGTGAGACTCTTATCTCCAAGTAACCACCAAAAAACCATAATCTGAGTGCTCCTATAGAAGAAATATGTATTTCAAGACTGTATTTCTACATTCTTTCAATGTAAATAGATAAACACTGCTTGTGGGAGTGTGGGTACAACATTTTTGTCCCAAATTTATTTTATTTTATTTTATTTTTGTCAGTTGTGCGTCTGGAACTCAGGGCCCTGATGCTGTCCTTGAGATTTTTCGCTTGCTCAAGGCCAGGGCTCTACCACTTTGAATCATAGCCCTACTTGTGGTTTTCTGGTTAATTGGAAATAAGAGTCTCTTACCTTAATTGGAGATAAGACTTCCCTGCTTAGGTTGACTTTGAACTATGATCCTTAGCTTTCAGTCTCCTGAGTAGCTAGAATTACAGGCATGAGCCAATGGTGCTCCAAATTTTAAGAAGGATTCTATTAAAAGTATATAATATGCAAAAGTATTTTTTACTTAGAATTACAGAATTTCACTTTATGAATACTTAAGTACCAATGATTGTATAAGTGGTATTCTATTTCAGGCATTTATTGAAAGAAATATCAGACCCTTATTCCTATTTAAAGGATGAAACAGACTTTAGAGCTTATTCTGTATTTTAATGTTTTCAGTAGTCAGTGTGTGTTTTGTGCCTATTGATAGTCTATTATTCTTTGTAGGTACCATGAGACTGAAAATCATTAAATATAATTTCATTGTCAGATGTAATTAAAGTAGCATTTTTTATGCTGCAATATTTTCAACAAAGATACAGGCAAATTCTACTTTTTTTTTTTTTTTCCCAATTGTGGGGCTTGTTGAACTTAGGGCCTAGGCACTGACTATGAGTTTTTTGTTTTTGTTTTTTTTTCCTCAAGGCTACCACTCTACCACTTTCAGCCACAGCTCTACTTATGGTTTTTAGGTGGCTAATTGGAGGTCATAGTTTCATGACCTTTCCTGCCTAGGCTGGCTTTGAACCACCATCTTAGACCTCAGCCTCCTGAGTAGTTAGGATTACAGGTGAGAGCCACCAGTGCCCCTAGCTAATTCTATTTTTAAGTATTCTTGAAGTTGTATTATTAGGAAATTCAAGAATTTTTTTAGCTTAAATGTAATTTTTCTATTGTGTTCCTCCTCTAGAGTTCATGAGCAGGCATAACTAAAAAGAATTACCAGTTTCTTTTAGCTACCTGCCAGCAACATCTTGCACCACTTTCTGCAAAGTGCATATCAATTCTAGTGTTAGAACAGATTGACCTACTGATCCTACTCAAGGCCAGATGATTGCTGAGTGCAAGATGGTAGAGTGATACAATATTGGGGTATTAATGAGATTATCTTAAATCTTATTTAGGCTGTGTTTTAAGAGATGAAGGTAGTTGAATTTCTAGGAAGTATACAAGAAGAACTGGCTTTCATGAATAAGCAATTCTGTCCTTTATAACTCATTATTGGGTGGGGAGAGCTCATTTTTATCTTCATTAGTAAATATTTGTAAAGCTGTCATTTTAAGAAAGTGTTTGAACTCCAGGTTTCTTACATGTCAAATGACTATTTAATTAATTAATTAATTAATTTTTTTTGCTGGTCGAGGGGCCTGAATTCTGGGCCTGGGCACTGTCCCTCAGCTCTTCAGCTCAAGGCTAGTGCTCTACCTCTTAAGCCACAGCTCCACTTCTGGCTTTTTCTGCTTATGTGGTGCTGAGGAATTGAACCCAGGACCTCATGCATGCAAGACAAACACTCTACCACTGAGCCACCTTCCTAGCCCCTCAAATGACTATTGCTAATAATTTTGCGTCTCAGGACCCTACCTTTATAGGCTCATTGACATTATTCTGTCTTTGGCCCTCTGTTACTTTTATCTGAGTGTCCTCAGATGACCTTTGCAAGGGCATAGTCTTTCTTTCTTTTGCCAGTCTCAGGGCTTGAACTTAGGGCCTGGCACTGCCCCTGAGCTGCTTTTGCTCAAGGGTAGCAATCTACCACTTGAGCCACAGTGCCACTTCCCACTTTTTCTGTGTATGTGGTACTGAGGAATGGAACCCAGACTTCATACATGCTAGGCAAGCACTCTACCACTAAGCTACATTCCCAGCCTGCAAGGGCATAGTCTTTCTATATTGATTCATGGTGCCAGATTTTGTGTGTGTGTGTGTGTGTGTACTGATCCTGGGGCTTGAACTCAGGGCCTGAGTGCTGGCCCTGAGCTGTTTTTGCTCAAGGCTAGTGCTCTACCATTTGAACCATAACTCTACTCCCCCCCAACCCCAGCCTTTTTGTAGTTTAATGGAGATAATAGTCTCACAGACTTTTGTGCTTGGTCTGGCTTTAAACTGCAATCCTCAGATCTTAGCCTCCTGAGTAGCTAGAATCACAGCCATGAGTAGACAGTGCCCTGCTTGTGGGGCTAGATTTTTACTGTAAGTGTAGACATTTTCCCCCCCTAAGTTTTAGGCCTTTGTATTAAAAAAATACTTTATAGCTCCATATAATTGTTATTTGGGAAATTCAGATGTTGATTATCTAAAATTGAATTATTTCTCCCACAAAATAGTTATCTTCTACATATTCTGCCTTGGTGTAAAGTGTTTCATCTCCACTCCGACTCTGAAATTGGAAATAGGAGAGGTAAATTCCTTGCTGTGTCTCTTTCATTTGGTCACCACTGAGTTTTTTATTTTTTTATTTTTATTTTTTGTCGGTCGTGGGGCTTGAACTCTGGGCCTGGGCACTGTCCCTCAGCTCTTCAGTTCAAGGCGAGCGCTCTACCACTTGAGCTACAGCGCCACTTCCGGTTTTCTGGTGGTTTATTGGAGATAGGAGTCTCACGGTCTCTCCTGCCCGGGCTGGCTTTGAACCGCGATCCTCACATCTCAGCCTCCTGAGTAGCTAGGATTACAGGCGTGAGCCACCAGCGCCCGGCTGAGTTTTTTAGTTTTAACTCATACTTGTTTCTTTTTGTGTTTTCATACTTTTTTTCTTATTCTCCTTCACTGATACTTCAATTCAACCTTTAAAGAATTTGTTTCAAATGAGAAGTATAACATAAAATTGTTTAAATAATAGGCAATATCATAAGTATAATTGTGATAGCATGTTACTAAGCATATTACAATTGTATATTTTAATATATTTCTATTTTAACACTTTATAACTACAGTTATAAATATGATTATGTAATTATGCAATAGATATCCAGGCACCTTTCAAGCATCCCCTTTACCAACCACTTCTTCCCTATCTTCCATGTCTGTATTTCCAGGTGTCCTTTCTTTTATTTTGTTGCTTTGTTTATACTCTGTAAATAGTATATAGTATCCCTAAAGTATGTATTACGTTCGCTTCAATATTGCTGTATTCCCTCCTGCCATCCCTAGGACATCTTTTACTCTACTCAATGGAGTGATAAGTCATCTATTCATGTCTTAAACCCTCTGAGATTCTCATAGCTTGATTTCTTATTAATTTTTCTTGGTAATCTGTTTTTATAGACTCCTTTGCCATATTTATTCTTTTCCTTTAGCTTTTGTCTAAAATTGGTTCTAGTTTACTTTGTGTTTTTACTCTTATATTTGTCCCATTCTCTGGTTCACTCCTACTCTTTGTTTTTGAGACATGATCTTTGTAGTGCAGGTAGCCTCTGACTCGCGATCCTTCTGCCTCAGCCTTCTGAGGCATCTGGATTTACAGGTGTGTGCCACCATGCCCAACTTTAGAAAACACTTTTTTGTTCCTCTTTTTTATCCTATAACACTTTGTGCATATATATTCTTTAGTTTTTTTAAATCATTCTGTAGGCTAATACTGTGGTTGCTTTATTTATCTGTCTCTTCCTCTCTTAATGGTAGATTCCTTATAGTTTATTTTCCTTTACTTCCTAACTTATTACACTGTCAGGTACGTAGGGTGTAGTCAATAAAACTTAAGTTACCAGATTAGCTTCCATGTCTGTTCCCACCTTATGCAGTGCTAACTCTGTTTAGGTGATGGATTGGCACCTCAAATTTGCCTATTGACTCTCAAAACTATACACTCTTTAATTAATAAAGGTCTTTGTCATTTCTAGAGCATATTATGATCTTTTTTCTCTTCATATCTTGGCAAATGGTAATAATCCTTTCTGTTACATTCCTCTTATATTTTTTCTGTTATATTTCCTTTTATATTTTTTTGCCTTCTTGCAAAACTTATTTTTCAGCTCATAATATTTCTGTAGGATGATACATTCATGTTTTTTTAATGATGGAATTCTTTCAGTCTGAGTGCTATTGGACTTATTCCCTGAAGAACAGACATGTTTCCATTTTCATCTATAATACTAATTTATAAGGAGGTGAATGACATGTAATATAGTTAGGTAGAGTTATAGGAATTCCTCAGGGCTTGAGTTCTATCTCTGAGCCTCTCTCTGCTCAAGCACTCTACCACTTGAGCCACAGCAACGCTTCAGGCTTTTTTGTGTGTGTGTGTATGTGGTACTGAGGAATAGAACCCATGGCTTCATACACATGCTAGGCAAGCACTCTACCACTAAGCCATATCCCTGGCCCCTTTAAATTATCTTTCAGTAATTACATGAAGAGATTTCAATTCAACATGTCAATGTATGACAATTCATCTTAATCAGTGTCACTCTTTCCATTGTTCATGGTTCTCTCTTACCTCTCCCAGCTCCACCTATCTCCTCAAGTTACCTGGTTCCATTTATATATATGTGCAGCAAATATTATGATTGTATTTGCCTCTCTCCATTCATCTGTCCCTCTTTCCCCCTCCCCAACAACACATGTTCCAGCTTCCCAGTATTCATTTTGTTAAACTGTAAGTTAGTTGTTCATAGGAGTTATACCATTGTAATCCTCCCCTGCTTATACCGTACTTTAGTCAATTTATCTGTGTGCATATATATATATATATATATATCTGTATATGATCCTGTATATATAGGTTTATAATTTAAATCTAATTTCCATATCTGAGAGAAAACATGCACCCTTTGCCTCTGAGTCTAACTTATTTAACATAATTTTCCAAGTCCATTTCCCTGCATATGACATAATTCATCCTGAGGGATGAGTAAAATTCCACCATATATATGTATGCATATATATTTGTGTGTATACATGTATATATAAATATGCATTTGTGTGCATGAATGTACAAATGCCTCATTTTCTGATGCACTTATCCATTTTGGGGCATCTGGGCATTTCCCTAACTAAGCTATGGTGAATAGTGCTGCATCAGTGAACATGGGCATGTAAGTGCCTTTATTTATCCTGATTTGTCATCTTTGTGATAAATGTCTGTGAGTGTTATTGCTGCATCCTAAGGTAGTTCTTTGTTTAGTATTTTGAGGAATGAAATTGGTTTTAAATAAGATTTTCTCTCTTTACTTCCCTATCAAAATCAACAGCAGTTATCTATGGAGAGCAACTTGCCATAGCAAATAAATATTTTCATAATTCCAAGAACAATATTCCGTAGCTGCTTGCAAAAAAATCAGCATTTAATTTAAAAAGGAGAGTGCATCAATTTCTACATATACTTTAAATCCTTCATTAAAAAGGTAGGTAATATTTGTGTAAATATAATTAATGGAGAAAACAGTACAGACCAGTGTTTTTCTCTAGTGGTCTTGAAATACTTTCACTCTTGTATCACAAAATAATTTTGAAAAACAGTACACCCTTTGCATGTTTTTATGTTGATAACATCTGAAATTTCTTTTAGAAGCTTAAATAGTTGCAAAGGATCTTAATTTTAGGTTGCTATATATTGTTATTTTGTGTTGTTTTATCAAAACCTCGGGGTATGTTTATCAGTTGAAATATATGTTATCACAAATATACATCACCTGTGTGTGTATGTCACTGAGTTTGAACCCAGACCCTCTGACATGGTAAGCCACCACTCCAGGATTAAACATTTTAATAGAGTTGTAAATAGGCTATAGTTAAATCTTTTTAAAATCTAATTTGACAATCCCTGCCTTTTGATTAAAATTTTAAATCATTTACACTTAGTGTAATTATTGATGCAGTTGGTTTTAAGTCAGTCCTCTTGCTCTTTTCTATTTGCCATGTTAGTCTTTTGTTCCTCCTTTTTTCCTAATTTATATATTCTGTTTATTTTAGGATCCCAAATTTTTACAATTTAGTTTAGAATTCCATTTTATCACTACTATTATATCTTTATTATTTTAGTATTTAGCTTGTGGTTTAGAGTTTCTTTGTTGTTGTTTTGTTTTGTTTTGTTTTTGCCAATCCTGGGGCTTGAACTCTAGTCCTGGGTGCTGTCCCTAAGCTTCTTTTGCTTTACCGCTTGAGCCATAGTGCTACTTCCAATCTTTATGAGTAGTTTATTAGAAATAATCTCATAGAGTTTCCAGTCCCACCTGGCTTTAAAACACAATCCTCATATCTGAGCCTCCTGATTAGGATTACATACATGAGCTACCTGTACCCAGCTGGGGTTTTTTTTGGTCCTGAGGCTTGAACTCTGGGTTTGGGTGCTGTCCCTGCACTCTTCAGCTCAAGGCTAGTGCCACATCGCCACTTCTGATTTTCTAGTGGTTTATTGAAGATAAGAGTGTCACGGACTTTCCTGCCTGGGCTGGCTTTGAACCATGATCCTCAGATCTCACCTTCCTGAGTAGCTAGGATTACAGGTGTGAGCCACTGGTGCCTGGCTATGTGTTTTTTTTTTTTAATATTCTATTATCATATATCAGTTGTACAAAGTATATATTACTCTGATGTTTCCACTCAAGTATACAGTGTATTCCAAGCAGTCTCAACCTCTCTTCTCTACTTCCTAAAACAATTTCAGTGGGTTTCATAGTTCTCCTACAAGCACATTTTGTACTTCAATTATACACAGACTCATTCATCCTCCCTGCTAGACTAAAAACCTTCTAGTAGATATAATCCGATTACCAACTGAGCCTGCCTCTTTCCTGGCCCCTCCAAATCCCTATTGATCTACAACTTCTTTTTTTCTTTCTTGTTTAAAAAAATTATCTTTTAGATGTAAAAAGGAGTTGCCTAAACAAAGCAGTTTATGAATACAATGTATCTTAATGTCACTCCTTTCAATATTAAGTTTATAAACTAATCTAGTTTCTATATAGAGGGAAAAACATGCATCTTTTGTCTCTCTGGGCCTGAGTGCACCTAGCATAACATAATATTTTCCAGATCTTTCCATTTCTTTACAAATGATGCAGTATCTTTCTAATGGATGAATAAAATTCAATTGTGTATATATACCATATTTTCTTGATCGATTTATCCACTGAGGGGCATCTAGACTGATTCTATGTCTTGGTTATGGTGAATAGTGCTGCAGTAAACATGGTTGTGCAGATAGCTTTATCCTGGTTTGTAATCTTCTGGGTAAATGTCCTGGAGTAGAATTTCTGGATCATAGGGTAGTTATATGTTTAATTTTGTGAGGAACTTTCACACTATTTCCAGAGTGGTTGAACACTTTTACATTCCTACTAACAGTGCATTAGGGTTCCCTTTTGGCCATATCCTTGCCAGCATATGTTACTGTTTACTTGATAATGGCCATTCTAACACTGGTGTGGAATCTGGCTGGAATCAGCTTCGAACCATGATCCTCAAATCTCAGCCCTCTACATAGCTAGAATTACAGGTGTGAGACATGGTTCCCGGCCCCATTTAAATCTTAATATTTATTCTCTCTCTGCTTTCATGTCACTTTCTTTTTTTTTTTTTTTTTGGTCAGTCATGGGGCTTGAACTCGGCCTGGGTGCTGTCCCTCAGCTATTCAGCTCAAGGCTAGCACTCTACCACTTGAGCTGCGGTGCCACTTCTGGTTTTCTGATGATTTATTGGAGATAAAAGTCTCATGGACTTTCCTGCCTGAGCTGGCTTTGAAGTACAATCCTCAGATCTCAGCCTTCTGAGTAGCTAGGCTTACAGGCATGAGCCACAGGCATGAGCCACAGGCACCTTTTCTTGATGAGGGAGAACTGATGTGATACAGTTTGGTAGTTTGACTCTAAGAGTAAATTTTCACTCAGGTGGATTGAGCTCTCTGAAGACAAAACTAATGTATGAGTAATAAGTATATGACATTGTTTTGGTCATTCTTTGGGGGTTAAAATTTTCAAACTAGATTATGAGTAAGTACTTAGATAAATAGAAAGTGATTAATTCTTCTATGTCCTTTTGTTTTTAGGTAACTATAACTACTGCAGCCATGGAGTCCATGCTTAATAAATTGAAGAGTACTGTTACAAAAGTAACAGCTGATGTCACTAGTGCTGTTATGGGAAATCCTGTCACTAGAGAATTCGATGTTGGTCGACACATTGCAAGCGGTGGCAATGGGCTAGCTTGGAAGATTTTTAATGGCACAAAAAAGTCAACAAAACAGGTAAGTCACTCAGCCTAATTGGAAAACAAATCACACATGCCAAATGCCTTTAAGTACATGTTTGAGTTTTTATGTTAAGAAATGCTAAAAATTTTTTAGTGAGTTCTTAAGTGGGCTGTGCAGTTTTTGTTTCATCTTATGAGATCATACAACTGAATATGTTTATACCTTGAATCTTGTTTATTGTGACTGTCACCTTGCAATCTACTTTTGCTTGCTTGCATAAGAAATAAAATAAATAAATACTGATTGTGTATTCCTAACTGAAAATGAGTTTTAAAAGCTTTTTGACCCTACATATTTCTTTTTGTTAGCATTTTGAATTTAAGATTTTCATATTAGCAATGCTTAATCTGATAGCAGCTGGGCACTGGTGGCTCACGCCTGTAATCCTAGCTACTCAGGAGGCTGAGATCTGAGGATCGCGGTTCAAAGCCAGCCCGGGCAGGAGAGACCGTGAGACTCCTATCTCCAATAAACCACCAGAAAACCGGAAGTGGCGCTTTAGCTCAAGTGGTAGAGCGCTCGCCTTGAGCTGAAGAGCTGAGGGACAGAGCCCAGGCCCAGAGTTCAAGCCCCACGACCGACAAAAAAAAAGAAAAAGAAAAAAAAATCTGATAGCAAAGAAATAAAAATAGTCGGAAATTATCTTATATTTAAACTAATGTTAAATTTACTGGTGAAAACAAAGGGAAGGTATTTAAAAAATAGTTAATAATCTGTTTTGACCTGCGTATATATCTGTCATCTTTGACCTAAAATAGTAAATGAGTCGTTGAAAGAATTTCATGAATTTATTTTATCAACTATATGTAGTCTTCCTCCCTAAGAGTGGTGAAATTGCAGTAGCTCCGGAGTCATTTCATGTCATCTTTTTTTTTTAAGACTTTAGTCTTAAGACGCCTTGAAAAATAAACACATTTAAATTAGAAGCATTTAAAAAATGTGTTCTAACAGAACACTTGCTAAAATAAGATTTTGCACATGAATGGTGAGATAGGGGTATAAACTTTTAGGTCACTTGTTTTTAGTTCAAATTAGTATTACATAAAACCCTTACTTGATTATTTTGTGTCTCTAATAATCAAAATAACTAAGGTCAGATTTGTATAAGTTGAGCATCCCTAATCTAAATATCTCTGAAATTCTCCAAAATCCAACTTCTAAAATATATATGATTTTATTGTTGTTATTAAGGTGTTTTACAGAGGAGGCTACTGTTTCATAAATCAGTTAATGAGTACATTTCTTTTTGGACGGTGTCACCCCTTTCTTGGACAGTGTCACCCCACCCTTAGTTTTGCCCTCCAATCCCTGCTTACAGGTCACATAGTTCATTTTCCACATAGTTCTACTGAGTGCCATGACTGAATGCGTTCACTTTTCCTTCCTCCATTTCTGTTCCCCACTGACCCCCTTCAAAAGACAAAAAGCAACAACAACAAATCCCCAAAGCAAAAACAGATGAGATATGAGTACACATGCTCTTAGCAGATATAAGTTGTAAATGATTTAAAAAAGAAGTGGTAGGGGAGCAGCTTCCTGTGCTGGCAACCATTTAGACTCTGCCTGTATTAAGATGAGAAGTAGGATGATAGTATAGATTATATTCCAAAGCTGCTTACAAATTAGGTTTTTATATTAACAAGTGGTACCTGACACCTGAACCCTGACATTCAACCTATGTTTTAAAGGATTTTGAAAGAATTTCCTAGTATTTTCTAGCATTTTCAGGATTTTCTAGTATTCAGGGTTATTATTATACATTTAAAGTTAACCATTCTAACTTTGAATTATGGTTAAATAAGAGATTATTGTGTATGGAGAAATGAAAAACAATTTCTTTATACTGCTCATATCATCACAATTCTAAATCTGTTCCTCTTTAGTTAATTAATTAATAATAAATCAGTTGTACGTATTTATTTTGATGTGGACTTTTGCTAGCGAATCACATCAACCTGCCTCAGACTCCTGAGTATTGGGATAACATGTTCCTCCATACTGTTTTCCTATATTCTCTTCTTTTTTTGTTGGTAGTGGGGCTTGAACTCTGGGCCTGGGCACTGTCCCTGAGCTCTTCAGCTCAAGGCTAGTGTTCTACTACTTGAGCCACAGTACCACTTCCGGCTTTTTCTGTTTATGTGGTGCTAGGAATCGAACCTGGGGCCTCATGAATGTGAGACAAGCACTTTACCACTGAGCCACCTTCCCAGCCCTTCCTATATTCTCTTTAGATGAGGACTCTGGGAATCACCCTTTAAAGTATTTGTGAGAAAAACAGACTTTGACCAGAAAAATATCACAGTGGTGCTAAAATATTCATGGCTAATATTTTGGAAAAAAACTAATGTTTTTGAGTTATTTCTCTGTGTACACTATTGTGTGCAGATGTGTAATTTAAGTAGACACTCAGATATCATCTTAGTACTTTTATGTATTGCTTCAGTAAATTAGTTATACAATTCTTTTGTTAGGAAGTAGCTGTTTTTGTCTTTGATAAGAAGCTGATTGACAAATACCAAAAATTTGAGAAGGATCAAATCATTGATTGTCTAAAACGAGGAGTCCAACAGTTAACACGGCTTCGACACCCTCGACTTCTTACTGTCCAACATCCTTTAGAAGAATCCAGGTAAAGTTCTACAAAAATATATATAATGGATGTCCTGAATTAATATTTACATATATATTTATATTTGAAATCTATTTCAAAAAAATTTTTTTGGGGGTCTGGTCATGGGGCCTGAACTCTGGGCCTGGGCGCTGTCCCTCAGCTCTTCAGCTCAAGGCTAGCACTTTACCACTTGAGCCACAGTGCCACTTCCAGGTTTTTTTTTTCTCTGCTTATGTGGTGCTGAGGAATTGAACCCAGGGCCTCATGCATGCAAGGCAAGCGCTCTACCACTGAGCCACCTTCCCAGCTCTCTATTTCAAATATTATCAGTGAAAAATTCTTAGAAACTTAAGTGTTGTTTTGTATGGATTGGTTATTTCCCTAAAATATAACATATTTGTCATGTGCATATGTGCTCCTCTTTTGAAATATCAATACTTTTTTTCACATTTTTTATGGGTCTATATGCTAACTGTATGCTCAGCTATAGTGGTCAAAAAGGGAAAATATCAGAGAAGTATGGAATGCAGTAATTGCCTGAGAGTAGGAGTCTTTGCTCATTTGCAAGTATTTCTTGTCTTTTCAGTGAGTCATTATTGGGGGACAAAATGAGGTGTAGCTCAAGTGGTAGAGCACTAGCCTTGAGCTGAAGAGCTGAGGGACAGTGCCCAGGCCCAGAGTTCAAGCCTCATGACCAACAGCAAAAAAAAAAAAATCATAATTATTATAATAGTTTAAAACATTGAGTGTTTTATCCAGTATGGTTTACAAATCCTCTTGATTCTGTTGATTGAGGTGTGTTACATTTATGTATTTATGTGAAATTATACAAATTAAAAAGAGTCTACCTTACTGGTAACTTAATAAGAACTTTGATATTTCATGTATATTTGACTTTAATAATGTGTAAAATGATAGTAATACATATGTTTTTTTAAAACAGAGATTGCTTGGCATTTTGTACAGAACCAGTTTTTGCCAGTTTAGCCAATGTTCTTGGTAACTGGGAAAATCTACCTTCCTCTATATCTCCAGACATTAAGGATTATAAACTGTATGATGTAGAAACTAAATATGGTTTGCTTCAGGTATGTATTTCTTCATTCAACATGTAAAAGGGTTTTTAAAAAAGTAGTTTTTAGTTATTTATTAGCCATGTAAACTACTTTATGTAAATCTTTGATTCTTAATAACAATTTGAAAACTATTTCTATGGTCCATATTTTTTTTCCTGAAGTTTATTAGGCTTAAATGGTATAATTCTTTTCATGTGTGCTGATAATGGAGCTTAAACTTGGTTCCTTGTGCTCTATCTATTCTGCTTAAGGCTGGTACTCTACCACCTGAGCCACACCTCTGCTTGGAGCTTTTTGGTGATTAATTAGAGATAAGAGTCTCGGGGACATTGCTGCCTTGGCTGGCTTCAAATCGTGATCCTCCGATCTCAGGCCTTCTGAGTAGCTAGGATTACAGGGATGAATACCAGTACCCGACTCTTGCATTATATGCCATGTACATATATTTTATAACAGAATGTAAATTATAATGAGATATTTAATAAAAAATGGTCTACCTCTAAAAATTTAGTAGCTAATAAAGGGGTACTATTAATGTTTTATATATGTCTGCTCTTTTTCAGGTGTTCTTTTCTCTATCAGAATAGTATCTTCCATACCATAGAGTAGATCAGTGCAGTATGTACTGAGTTTCTTGACAGGGATCATATATTTTTTCAAAAATCTTTTAGAGGTATTACTAGCATAAGATAAAGTACCATATGCAAAGTAAACACTCCTGTAAGTTTGTCATATACATACCTGTGAAACCTTGAGCAAAGTCAAGCTACTAGTGTATGTCCATTACCATCAAGGGTTCCTCAAACTTCCGGTAGTCCTTCCTTCATACTCCTTGTATACTCTCTGTGTTTCACCCAGGAGATCACTGACCTTAGATCAGTCTTTTTTTTCCCTAGAATTTTTTTTTTTAATTTTGAAAATACCATACAGAAGGGTTACAATTACATAGGCTAGGTAATGAGTACATTTCTTATCAAGCATTGTTGCCTCCTCCTTTGTTTCCCCTCCCTAGAATTTTTTTTTTTTGTCTGGTCATGGGGCCTGAACTTTGGGCCTGGGCACTGTCCCTCAGCTCTTCAGCTCAAGGCTAGCGCTCTACCACTTGAGCCACAGCGCCACTTCCGGCTCTTTTTCTTTTTGCTTATGTGGTGCTGAGGAATCGACCTCAGGGCCTCATGCATGCAAGGCAAGAGCTCTACCACTGAGCCACCTTCCCAGCCCCCTCCCTAGAATTTTTAAGTGGAATCCTATGGTGTATATTCTTTTAGTCTTCTTTCAGCCAACTTGGCAATTTTTGAGATTGACCCATTATGTTATATTTACTTGATGATATATATACATATCAATAGTTCATTTTTTTATTGCTGAGTACTGTTGTATGGATATGTAGCTTATTTATTTGTTTACCTCTTGATGGTCATTTGGATTGTTTCTACTCTTTTTGCTATTGTGAAAAAGCTCTTGTGAGTATTTGTATGCATTTTTTTTTTTTAGGGACATGTACTTGCATCTTATGTTCTTTTTTTTCTTTCTACGCTAATATTGGGGCTTGACCTCTGAGCTTCATGCTTTCACTCAGCTTTTTTGCTCAAGGGTGGTACTCTGCTACTTAATCACATTCCTAGTCCATCAGTTTTCTGGCTAATTAGAGAAAAGTCTAACAGACATTTCTCCTTGTTTGTGTGTGTGTGTGTGTGTGTTTCCCTCTATGCTGGCCTTGAACTACAATTCTCCCTGTCTCTCCCTCCTGAATAGCTGGCATTGCCGATGTACATTGCCATATTAGGCATCTAACAGGAACTTTTAAAGATGATTCATTGGTATATTTGTTCATTCAGAAACAAGTATGTATTGGATTGTATCTGTTAGGCACAATTCTGGCTGCTGTATGTAGAGAACAAAACAAAAAATCATGCCTTTTGCAAACATTTGCATGTGAGAATATAGACAATGAAATTTTGATAAGTGCTATGATGAAAAAGAGTTTAAAAAGGAATGGTTTGTATGAGGGAGAGAGGAGACTTGCACTTTAAATGGGATAGTTCAGAATATCTTACTATAAAGGGGACATTTTAGAAAGGACTTGGAAAAGTCAAAGCAAGTCATATGGATACCCAGAGGAAGAATTGATATATTTTGGATTTTACTCTGGAAGAAAGGGGAAGAAAATTTAGAGGGTTTGAGCAAGAAAGTAATGATCTGAGTTACATTTTAACAGATTGTAGGAGAAATAGTTTTGGATTTCTTAGAGGGTAAGACAAAAGAATGACATCAAAGTGGATATAAGACAAGAAAATATTCAGTTAATCACATCTGGACTTTAGAACAGAGGCCTGAGCAGAAGTTGTTGGAAACAGTCAGCACATAGGTGATAGTTAAAACTGTGAGAATAATGAGAATATGGGAGGAGGTGGCAAATCATAGTGCTTCAAACCTTGGGAGAAATAAGGAAACTAGCAAAACAGGAGTTTATAGAAAACCAAGAATAAAAATATTCTGGAAATCAAGATTACTAGCTTGCCCAAACCTCCTTCTTCCTGGAAACAAAAAAATCCAGCCTTTGCTTCTGGGTAAAAAATTTGATGACAATCTCTGGTACACATATAAAAATGAGCAATTATCAGTCCAATGCAAGTAAGTGAACATCAACTGAATATATAAACACTAAGTATGATATTCAGCAAACTGAATTTCAATATGAAGTATTAGTCAGTAGAAAATCTTAATATTCATTCTCTGTATCTAAAGAACTAATTAGTGAATCTAGATTAATTCCTTCACATTTCAGACTATGGAACTAAATAAATCTTAGAAGCTAAAATCACTTCCGCTTATATGACTATAAAAAGGAGCTTAATACAGTTGTCCCTTACTATATCATGGTTCACTTACGGCTTCACTGTATCAATGTTTTTTTAAAAAATACATAGTGATTCCTCAGCTATTGCAGGAGCTACATTCCAGACACCCCACAGCAGGTGAAAACTGTGAAGTAGCAATAAGTGAACTGTGATATAGTGAGGGATGACTATCTAACACTGCTACTTCTTAGGTTTTCACCTATTGCGGGGGTAAGTCCCGAGATAGGTGAGGGATCACTTAGTTGTCTTTAGTTTTGCTTATCAGGATTTTTCCCACTAATGTTTAGATTGACCTGCAACTAGAAATATTGAGACTTCTGCTTTTATGATGAAATTTGATTGCTAGTTGATATGTAAAATTCTTTACTGATATAGCTAGCAATAATTAATAAGATTTTCATGAGACATTTTGATGTAATTGAAAGGACTTTTATTCAATAAAATACTGCCTATTTTCCCACTTATAGGTATCTGAAGGATTGTCATTTTTGCATAGCAGTGTCAAAATGGTTCATGGAAATATTACTCCTGAAAATATAATTTTGAATAAAAGTGGAGCCTGGAAAATAATGGGTTTTGATTTTTGTGTGTCATCAACCAATCCTTCTGAACAAGAGGTAATCATAGAATTAGTGATTGCATCTGGAATGAAGTAAAAAATTCAGTGTAACCCAGATAAATGTGTATAATTAGACTAGTAGTACACGGGTATGTTTAAGTTTATAGTTTTAGTAGATGGCTCATGCCTGTTATCCTAGCTACTCATAGGACTGAGATCTGAGGATCACAGTTCAAAGCTAGCCCAGGCAGAAAAGTTCTTGGAGACTCTTATTTCCCAAGAATTACATTTTGAAGACCTAGAGAAGTTTATGTTATTCAATCCATTCCATTATTTGTCTTCTTTTTCAAAGTAAATATGAGACTGGGCAGAGGGAACATTCCTCGTTACATTATCAGAGCCCTTTCATTTATTTCTGACAAGCTTACCAAAAGAATTAGAGTGACTAAAGAACATCCATAGTTAACTATGACTTCCCTGGGGATATGCTGTTAGCAAGTTATTTTCTTCTGTAGTGGTTTTCCTCTGGGTATTTTGGCCTATCTACATGAATACAGCTATTCATTTAAACAACCATTTTTAAGGGATTTAGGAATAATTGGTATTGGTTGCATATACACTGTTGTTGAGGCACTGTACTATGTCTGACTAGTACACTTTTATTCTTGGTATAATCTCATGAACCTATTAACTAAGTCATATAACTAGTGAAAGTATAAAGTTTCAAACAACAGTCTGTCCTAGCCCGTAAAACATGAAGCCTGTGTATGACATGGGGTAAACTTTGAATGTTTGTTTACTCACTGCATTTTGTAGTAATTGTATATCTTCTAGACGAGACTTCAGTAGTTTCTGAGTTAAAAGAGTTGTGTATACTTTCTAAATTTGGCAATTTTAAAAATTGAAGATGATAGTGACATTTTTACTTGTTTAGGTAAATTGCTACAACTTGATAATAGTTTACTTTCTGTAAAAGTATTTAACCTGTGTTATCTCTTTTCTGTCTCATTGCAGCCTAAGTTTCCTTGTAAAGAATGGGACCCAAATTTACCATCACTGTGTCTTCCAAATCCTGAATATTTGGCTCCTGAATATATACTTTCTGTGAGCTGTGAAACAGCCAGTGATATGTATTCTTTAGGAACTGTCATGTATGCTGTATTTAATAAAGGGAAACCTATATTTGAAGTCAACAAGCAAGATATTTATAAAAGTTTCAGTAGGCAGTTGGATCAGGTATTTGCCTATCAATATTTTCTTGCATGCAAAACTAAGCATTATTTTTCTTCTATAATGTGGTCAGAAGTTCTTGAGATGGATGTCTTATTTCAAATTTGTATAAGAATAATTTCTATAAATAATGAAGATTAGACTTTTGCTAGAGTGAATATTGAAATATGCTCTAAAAGACTGGAGATTTTAGGAATGGAAATAATTTCAGGTATTAAAGAAAAGTATTTTAATTACTCTGTAACAATAGACTTAGTGTTTTGTTTGGTCTATAAATATGTGGAAATTTAAAGTGGTTTCTTAGATTATTAAAATGTATACCTTTTAAAATAGTTTATACTCATGTAATATTACTACTCTTTGAATAGTTGAGTCGTTTAGGATCCAGTTCACTCACAAATATACCTGAAGAAGTCCGTGAACATGTGAAACTGTTGCTAAATGTAACTCCAACTGTAAGACCTGATGCAGACCAAATGACAAAGGTAAGTATGCTTGGATCACTGCATTAGATGAATAGACAAAAAATTTTTAAAAAAAGTTAAAGTAGACAAAGCTCTTCTAAAGCAAGATTTTGTCTCCACATGACATGTGTTCTTGAATGTATTAACTATTCAATATTTAATTTTAGCTATAGGCTCTCCTCCAATAATTGTAATTACATATGCAGACATTTTGAACTCCCTGAGAAGTCAAAGCCTATAAATCACTCCTGGATTTTGGAATATAGTATTCTTTTTGCTCTCAAGATTTTCAGTAGGAGCTGAAAGTGTCTGCCTTACTTAGTAGGTAATAAGCCTGTAGTAACCCTTTTATACATTGAGGACCATCTACTTGTGTTTCCCTTTTGAGGAAATAGTTTAGACAGCAGGAGTCATCATGGGCAAGAGCCGAATCCTATTTCCTAGAACCCTAGAGACCTATAGAGGGGCACATTAAATGATCCCCCCAAACATCCACATCATAGTCTCCACAAAAGATATTTTACTTAATTTTTCCAATATCTTAGAGTTGTATTAACAAATGCTATTGCTCAGCGTTTGCTAACTGGTAGCAAATTTGATAACTGATTTTGAAGAACTTGAAAAATTTATTTTCTTAATATGATTTTTAAAAATACAACTTCTATTAAAATGATTATCATTTTGTTTAATGTGTCTGATTATTTTCTCACTGTATTGTACGTGGTTGTTTCAGTTGTATGAAATACTCTCAGTATTTATCAAAATAACTTATTTCCATATTTTTAGATTCCTTTCTTTGATGATGTTGGTGCAGTAACACTTCAATATTTTGATACTTTATTCCAAAGAGATAATCTTCAGAAATCACAGTTTTTCAAAGGATTACCAAAGGTTCTATCAAAACTGCCTAAGGTTTGTTGTTTATCAATTTCTTATTGTATCAGTGTTTAAGATTTTTTTTTTTGGGGTCCGGTAGTGGGGCCTGAACTCTGGGCCTGGGCACTGTCCCTCAGCTCTTCAGCTCAAGGCTAGCGCTCTACCACTTGAGCCACAGCGCCACCTCCGGCTTTTTTCTTTTTTGCTTATGTGGTGCTGAGGAATCGAACCCAGGGCCTCAGGCATGCAAGGCAAGCACTCTACCACTGAGCCATCTTCCCAGCCCCAGTGGTTAAGATTTTTTAAAATTTACTTTGATTTACTATAAAAACTATTCCAAGAAATAAGGCAACTTTTGTGCTTAGTACCTACATGATTATAAAATGTGGCAGACTATAGCTGAAAAACTCAATTACAGTGCAAAAAAATTAACTGAAAGCCACAAGGATGCTGCCCCATGTCAAATCAGCAGTTGGACATCAGACTGTAATTATGGAGATGACTGCTCAATCATGAGTTAAGGATGTAGTTCTGTATTGATAGTAGCCTGTCCAGTTCCTTTAACTTTTCCTCTCACTTACTAAACTATGAGTGTAAAATAGTCTAAAATCACTGCTTGTAAAACTAGTAATTCTGGCAAAAATGTTTCCAGTGTTTTAATCTATCACATAACCAGTGGCCACTTACTAATTGTCTAGTCTTTTACTAAGGTGGTAAGATTATGGAGAGAAAAGAGAAAAATGCTGTCCCTGCTCTAAAGGCCATTATGGTAAATATAAATAGGTTAATATGCATGAAGCAGCAATTAAAAATACAGGACATTAGGAATTAAGAATAGAAGCATCAGTGAAGACTTAAGTGGTGAAGGCTTCCTAAATACAGGACCATCTATCTTTTTTTTTTTTTTGTCAGTCATGGGGCTTGAACTCTGGGCCTGGGTGCTGTTCCTGAGCTCTTCAGCTCAAGGCCAGCGCTCTACCAATTGACCACAGCACTACTTCCAGATTTCTGGTGGTTAATTGGAGATAAAACTCTCACGGACTTAGTTTGCTTGGACTAATCCTACAGGCATGAGCCACCAGTGCCTGGCCCATCTATCTTCTTTTACCCAGATAGTCATAGCTTATGCCATTTGTTTTGGCATAATTAGCAAAAGCATTTTTTTTTCACAAAAATGTATTTTAATTCCAACCACAAATTATATGATCATTTTACCTAAAGAGATAAAAGTCTTGAGGCTTCAATGTTAATGCTAAAGAACTGAAATCAATCGATTTTATAAAAATATTTTTGTTTTTCAGCGAGTCATTGTGCAGAGAATTTTGCCTTGCTTGACTTCAGAATTTGTCAACCCGGACATGGTACCTTTTGTTTTGCCCAATGTTTTACTGATTGCTGAGGAATGCACCAAAGAAGAATATGTCAAATTAATTCTACCGGAACTTGGTCCTGTATTTAAACAGCAGGAGCCAATCCAGGTATGTTGTAGGTTATGTTGCATATTTATAGGATATTATTCATAAGGATGATTGTTACTGAAACAAAAGAAGTAATTATATGAGTTAAAAGACTGTGACTGTATGACTCTTTTTCATTAGCTGTTTTGCATATGTTTGAACCATCCATAAAATTATAATTACACTTTGTAGGTGAATGTGTTTAACTTTCTATAAGTTTTCATCTCAGGAAATAAATTACAATGAAAATTTTTTTATTAATAAGTTTTTTAAATTGTGAAAATACTGTACAGAGGGGTTACAATTACATGAGCAAGGTAGTGAGTACATTTCTTATCAAGCATTGTTGCCTCCTCCTTTGTTTACCTTTACCATCCCTACCCTCAAAATGTTAATTTTTTTCTTGTACTTTTAGGTATTTTTGTTTTGTTATTTCAATCTTGAACTTGTAAATGATTAGCTCCAATTGTTCCTCTTTATTTTCTTGGTAAAATGTACTTTCATTAAAGGAAAAAAATGCTTAGATTACCATTGAAACAATGTACTTATGTAATGTGTATGTATAAGTGAAAAAATACCTATTATATATAATATATGCTTGACAGATTCAAGATCATCTCTGTTTCAAGTTCAGAGAGGACATAAAACTGGGTTTGACTCCAGGACTACTTTATCTCTTTACTTGAAGTATGACTTAGATTTATCATTAATTACCATCTTAAAGCTTCCATTTCCTCCTTTCTAAAATGAAAGGGGTTATTGAGCTGAAATTACATTTTCTGGCACATAGTAAATATTTTTTTTTCTACCTCTGCATGGCAATAGCTTATTAGCTCTCTGATGTAATAGCTGTGACTTTGTGGTTCCTTTGGGAAGACGGAATATAGAAGGTAGTATATGGTGAGAGTTCCTGTGGACTTGGGAGGAAGCAAGGAAGGTGAATACAGGACTGAAGCAGGGCTTCCTGTCAGTACTCAAAGTACAGAGAGGGGAAGTTGATGGAGTCACATATTCCCCAAGATATGAATGAGTCAAGATAGTATTCTGAGAAGTCCATGACCTGAATTCTATGTTGCCTCCATTCTTTGGTTTTCCCTTTTTTCTTGGAGGTGGAGGGTGAGGCGTCAGTCATGTGGGTTAAACTCAGGGCTTGAGTGCTGTCCTTGAACTTTTTCACTCAGGGTGAAGCCCTGGTGTCACTTCTGGCTTTCTGATAGTTAATTGGAGTTAAGAGTCTCACAGACTTTCCTGCCTGGGTTGTCTTTGAATTGTGATCCTCAGATCTCAACCTCCTGAGTAGCTAGGGTTACAAGTGTGAGCCATCAGTGCCCTACTCTGATTCTTTTTCCTTTTTAGTTTCCAGTTAAAAATTCTTCCTGAGGACTCTTTTAGGGGAGGAACCCAAAGGAATGATGATAAACTTTATCAAAATGAAGTGCAGGAAATGGAAACAAGAGGTTTCTTTTTTGTTTCTTTTTTTTTCTTATTTCTTCATTTTTCTGTCTTTTGGGAGGGTAAGAGGGGAACAAAAATGGAGGGACAAAGGGTGAATAAAATGCAGCAGTGGTACTCCGTAGACAGTATGTTGGTAGGGATGGGAGGGGGAAACTGGAAGAGGGCAAAGAAGGGATAACAAAAAGAAATTACTCATTACCTGACTTATGAAACTGTAACCCCTCTTTATATAACCTTATTAGTAACAATAAAAAAAATTCTCTTGAATTTTTTTTTATTCTTTGCTGGTCATGGAGCCTGAACTCTGGGCCTGGGCGCTGTCCCTTAGCTCTTCCGGTCTTCAGCTCAAGGCTAGTGCTCTACTACTTGAGCCACAGCGCCACTTCTGGCTTTTTCTGCTTATGTGGTGCTGAGGAATCGAACCCGGGGCCTCATGCATGCAAGGCAAGCACTCTACCACTGAGCCACCTTCCCAGCCCTTCTCTTGAAAAATTTTAACTGAGCCTTGGCAAAACAATATTCTGATTAATAGAAGGGCTAGTTTGTTCTTTGTAAATTAAATAAGTGGAGGAAGCTTGGTTTAAAAAAAAAAAGCCTAGGTCAGTTAAAAATGTTTCTTTCTAGAATTTTTCCTTACAGATTTTTTTCTTTTCTGTATCCTCTCTTCTCTCGAACTTCATAAATAAAGAGATAAAATTTACTTTTTTCTGGCATTTTTTTGTTTTTTTTGGGTCCGGTCGTGGGGCCTGAACTCTGGGCCTGGGCGCTGTCCCTCAGCTCTTCAACTCAAGGCTAGCGCTCTACCATTTGAGCCACAGTGCCACTTCCAGCTTTTTCCTTTTTGCTTATGTGGTGCTGAGGAATCGAACCCAGGGCCTCATGCATGCAAGGCATGTGCCCTACCACTGAGCCACCTTTCCCAGTCCCTCGGTCATTTTTTTAAAGTGTGTTAAAGCTTTTATTTTTCCCCAGAAGCTTTCTGAACAGTGGGTATTTGTAGGTGATGTATTACTGTAGATAGTAAAAACTAGAAAATTAGTCTTTATTTAAATCATTAGACGGAAAGCAGATTCTAAGTGGTATGCTTCCAGAAATGTCAGAGGCTTGATTTGTATGTTTTTGTCTTCCACGCCTTCAGGCTAGCAACATGGTGAGTGTCAAAATATATAACTCATTCTTTTGAAAAACAAAACCTTTATATTTTGGCATATGTTGAATCTTATCATATATTTTTTTTTTCTTATAAACAGATTTTATTAATTTTCCTACAAAAAATGGATTTGCTGCTAACCAAAACTCCTCCTGATGAGATCAAGAACAGTGTCCTACCAATGGTTTACAGAGCACTGGAGGCTCCTTCTATTCAGATTCAGGTACTGCATTTGATTTGTTTATGTTTTGTGCTAACTTAGATTCTTAAAACAGAAGAAAGATAAAGCATATTTCAGGATTAAGTTATAACATTTTATATAGAACTCAGTAGTGAATCTGTTTGTCAAAATTACATTATTGACACTGTTATTAAACATATTTACTCCTAACTAAAGAATTAAATGATTCATGATTCATAAAGGAATTTATTCTTGATAGGTGCCTTTATCATAAGTAGATTTATTGCTATCATCAGAAATGCACTATTATGGAAGAAAGTTTTATTTATTGTAGCTTGAATTATGTATACCTCTTTCTACTTCTAATTGGATAATTATGATTGAAAAGAAAAGGGCATAGATGTTATGTTTCCTGTACTTGTAATTTTCTTTTATGTTTGTTAATTCAGTTTTCTATTTAGAAATCCTGTTCCTAGGACTAGGGGTTGTAACTCAAGTTGGCAGAGCACCTCCCTATTAACCTAAGTTTAAATCTCAGAACCACAGAAACAATACCAAGAAAACCAGAATGCAATATTGTCCTGCGGTGAGGTTAATTTGTATGGCAAGGAGATGAAGAAGCACATTGCCAGGCTTTTGTCCCACAAAGACAATCTTGAAACAGTATATACTTGTCAAAGGTTCATTTTATAGTCTTTGCTATTAAAATTCTGGTTCTTTGGATCTCTGTCTGGAAAATCATTCTGGATTGCTGTTAAAAATGTAATTTTAGGAAGTAGAAGTGGCACAGCACCATCCTTAAGTGAGTAGTTTAATTTTTTTTTCATTTTGGAAAATTCTTTTTTTTTCTTTTTTCCTGTCATACTAAAGTTTGAAGTCAGGGCCTCTTGAACTTGAAAAGGTAGCTGCTCCATACCCCTAGCTCTTTATTTGCTGTGTTCAGATAGAGTCTTGTGTGTCCAAGGCTGGCCTCAGACCCTTAACTTCCCACATAGCTGACATTGTATTTGTCAACCATAATACCCATCTTGTTACCAGCTTGTTGCCTGGGCAGGCCTCAACCCTTGATCATCCCAGTCCTGCCCCCTGAGTATCTGGGGGCATGTTTCTCCATGCCCCGCTGGAAAATAGATCCTGTATTAAGAACATCTTTCGTACAAAAGTTTCATACTTTAAAGTTTAGTCTTTTTGTCAGCAAACAGACTCAGATAAAGAAAAACAGAATTTTTAAAGCATTATTTACTGATTTTTTTTCTTTATCTGCTATGCTGGCCTGGAGAAACTCTCTTAAGTTCTGGGCTTATGGGTGTGTACAACCACATCTGGCCTAGTTTGTTAGAATTAAGATGACACATTTTAGGTCACTCTGTTGACTCATTTCAGTTTGTCTACTAAATTTATTTAAGAGTGTGAGATTGATGTTATTTTTTACCCTTATAAGTAGATTGAGTGGGAGAGATGTGTCTACTTCTACTTGTTAGCTCTTTCTAAAGGAATTGTAGCCAAGTATAGTAGTTGCTGTCTATAATCCTAGTCCTTAGGAAGCTGAGGCTGAGGGATTTCTAGTTCTAGGCCATTCTGTACTGCATAGCAAGAACTTCTCTCAAGGCAAAAAAAAGAGTTGCAATTATAACCTTTTGATACAACACCATAGCCTCTGTGTAGCCAAACTGGTTTTAAACTGATTGTAACTATTTTTATTTTCAGAGAGTTGTGGAAAGGACCAAATAATATAACATGTGAAAATTCATTTTTAACTGACAAATTAGCCATACAGAGGCAGATTGTCTTTGAATATAAGAAAAGATGAGTCTTTCTCTAAATTGATGAGATGTATTTTTTTAATAGGAACTCTGTCTAAACATCATTCCAACCTTTGCAAATCTTATAGACTACCCTTCCATGAAAAATGCTTTGATACCAAGAATTAAAAATGCCTGTCTCCAAACGTCTTCCCTTGCTGTGAGTAATTATATATTCAGTAATTTATCATTTTCTCATTTTTTAATAACCCTAAGCAGTTTGTTCACATTATTTGTCTTGGTTATAAGTGACCTCTTTGTGTGTGTGTGTGTGTGTGCACGCGCGCACACGTGTGTTTTATGTGTGTGTATACGTGTTTGTGTATGTGTATAAATAGAAAATAAGCCATAGTTTTTTCCAATATATAGATAGAATCCTGGATCCCACACCTTACTCCATGTTTCCTTAATTTGAATTCTGCAGCAGAGAAGTTGAATTGTTGTTTTCTGAATCCCTTTTTGCTTTAACAATTTATTATTTATTTAACATTACCTTTAGTCATCTGTGTGTGTGTGTGTGTGTGTGTGTGTGTGCGTGCGTGTGTGTGTGTGCGTGCGTGCGTGCATGTGTGCATGCGCGCGTGCGCTGGTACTGGAGCTTGAACTCAGGTCCTGGGCACTGTTTCTGAGCTTTTTTGCTTGTGGCTATTGTTGTATTACTTGAGCCACAGTTCTACTTCCAACTTTTTGGTGGTTCATTGAAGATGAGAGTCTCATAAACTTCTTGCCTAGAATGGCTTTTGAACCATGTTCCTTGATCCTGGATTGTAGCCCCCTGAGTAGCTAGGATTATAGGTATGAGCCACTATCACCCAGCTGAATACAGGATTCATAACATTAAATTACTTCCTAGTCAAGGAAGGTAGAGTAAATGCCATAGTTCTCATCATTTCATCATCTCTAACAAATGGAAGGACTTTACATGTTACTATTTCTTTATAGAAGTCATTCAGAATACTCTTCCATAGCAGCTTTTGAGAAGAGGGAGAAATGTCTTACCTTTGCCTGAATGTTCTTTTTACACTGATCTTTGAAAATGAGTATATTGTTAAATTTGCATTTTGTAAAGCTTGTTCCCTGGGTGATACCATCCATCTTTATGTGGTAGAGTGTGAATTTAAATAACAAAAGGTTAATAGCTTAATAGAATTATAAGCAAAACAATGTAAACAAATAATTTTACTTCATAGCCATCTAATCTGTTTTAGTTCATGTTTTTTGGTTTTTATACCACTAAAGAAGGAAATAGGTCATTACTGAAATGAGCAGGCATAGAGAAGAGAATCCTTAACTCTAGACTTTGTTACTATCTATCCTACAGCTCTGGGGTAGGTACTAACAAGTCTCCGTGCCTCTCTGAGTTTCTTTCTTTGTCATCATTAAAAGGATTTGAAATACAATCCTTTAAGGTTCTGTACCTTCATGACTGAGTTTCCAAAATGGATGGTAGTTATAGATAGCTTGATATTCTATTCTCAAAATGTCATTTCAGAATTTCCTTCCCTAAGGCTGGGAAGGTGGCTTAGTGGTAGAGCACTTGCCTTGCATGCTCGAGGCCCTGGGTTTGATTCCTCAGCACCACATAAGGAAAAAAAAAGCCAGAAGTGGTGCTGCGGCTCAAGTGGTAGAGTGCTAGCCTTGAGTTGAAGAGCTGAGGGACAGCGCCCAGGCCCAGAGTTCAGGCCCCA